TATTGTTCTTATTGTTAGTATTATTATTCTTCTTCTTCTTATTCTTATTAATGATAATAGTTTTATTATCATTAATATTATTCTTATTAATATTATTAGTATTATTATTATTCTTCTTATTAGTGTTCGTATTATTAGTAGTATCCTTAATATTTTTTGTTCTTCATCTTCTTCTTATTATTATCATTATTATTATTCGTCTTCTTATTCGTCTTCTTATTTGTCTTCCTCCTCCTCCTCCGTGTCCTCCTCCTCCTCCAACTCCTCCTCCTCCTCCCTCTCCCTCTCCCTCTCCTCTTCATCCGCCTCCTCCTCCTCCTCCTCCTCCTCATCCTCCTCCCTCTCCACCTTCCTCTCTCCTCCTCGACCTCCTCCTCCTGTCCTCCTCCTCCTCATCCTGTTCCTCCTCCTCCTTTCCTCCACGCTCCTCCTCCTCCTCTTCCTCCTGCTCCTCCTTTCTCCTCCTCCCTCCTCCTCTTCCCTCCTCCTCTTCCTCCTCCTCATGCCTCCTCCTCCTCCTCCTCTCCTCATCCTCCCTCCTCTAATCCTTCCTTCTCCTCTGTCCCCCCCCTCCTCCCCTCCTCCTCCTCCTCCTCCTCCTCCTCCTCCTCCTCCTCCTCCTCCTCCTCCACCTCCGGATACGCCTGTTCCGCGCGCAGGGCCACGAACTCGTGGAGCCCCTCGCCGCCTGCCCGCAGAGGGAGGCAAAATTCGGGCGGTCTCGTCGGTCCCCGGCTGCTTTCCGGCCGCGGGGTGCGTCTCAGCAGCGGCACCTCGCCGAGGCGTCCAGGGGTGCCCCGGGTCGCCCCGAACGGCCGCCGCCCGGAGACTCGACGTATGGCCCAAAGGCCAGACCTCGACGCCGACGACGAAGACGACGGCGGATGAGACGGGGGCTTCGATGCTTCTGCGCCTCTTATATGGGCCTCCCAGGGGCCCGCGTCTCGCCACGGCTGGGGTCGCCGCGGCACCTCGGCCCTGGAGGGGTCGGGGGGGGCGCGCGGCTCGGAGGGCTGCCCTCGGCCAGGGGGCCCTTGCCATCTGCGTCGCCTGCGGTCAGAAGCTGCCTGCTTGGCGCGCGTCGCGGCGGCGGCCCCGGCGGCGCGCTGCGCCCTGCGCCCATGCAGGCGGCTGTCCAGCGCGTCGCGCCGCTCCGCGCGGCGGAGGGCTTCGAGAGGCTCGGGACGCTCGAGCACGGGAGTGGGACTCGCGGTCCGCGTGATGCGTCGAAGCCTGGTGGACCAGAGCGGGCGACGCGGCGCGCCACGCAGGCGCTCCTGACGGTGACCTCGAGCTCATCGCGCTCCTTCTCGCACCCCCCGCGCCGCCCTCCAGCGGAGGACAGCTCTCGAGCCTGGGCCGCGAAGTGCAACCATCCCGGCGCCGATGCGGGCTGCCTGGGTTGCACATCGGCCTCGGTGGCCTTCTGTGGCCCTTGGCGGCTTCTTGTGGTCTTCGGCGCGGGCGCTGGACGGTTACATTTTCTGATCAGAAGGCCATGGATCGGGAATCAACGCGGCACCGATGTCGCTACTATCGAGGCGAATCCAGCCGTGGAGGGGAGGGGCGGCAGCGGCATCGGTATCTAACTTTTCCATTTCGGCAATGATCATGGCCTCCAGGACCTGGGCCGCAAAGTTTGCACGTCCTGGTCGTAATCATGCTGAGCAGAAAAGACATGCTTTTCTTGAACACCTGCAGTGGACAGTTGATGTGAGGCGGTTAGAATGAAACTCAAATTTCCCAAACTAGATTCCACAAGGGGGGCGTCGTAGCTCATTTGCCCCCATCTTGGCACGGATTGAAGCCACCACTCCCAGGCACACTATTACAAATACGGCGATGGCACTGGATAGGGAAACCTTCGATAAGGAATCCAGGGTCTGGAAGCCAGTGGAAAGCCAATCGTGGCTTGGCCATGGAAATCATCGCCGCCCTCATCAGACAAGGAACCCTCCCGGGCCTGACGCCTCCAGGACACACTCCTGGACCAACGCCCCAACCGCAAGAGGAAGGCCTCTCGGGGGCCTCTTCGGGGTCCTCGCGAGGGCCGCCTGGGGCCCACGCGGAACCTCTTCGGGCCAGCCGGAATGGAAACTGGGGGAGCAAAGTGGGCACGGCACGCGACTCATCCAGCCGCGGGCCAGCACAAGTTCCCGCGCGTCGCGCTGGCGCGCGTCGCGGGGCGACGCGCCGCAGCCCCCCAACCAATAGCTTGAGGTCGGGCATGTCCTCCCACTGGCGGATTTGGGGAGAAACATAAAAATGCTCAGCACATACCCAGAGATAGTCTTAGAAGTAATCCAGCAGTCCCCCGACTACTTTCAACTACTCTTGGATTTTCTCCCTGTGGAGGGACAGGCCCTAACGAGAGCTCTCGCATCGCGGCGCGACGCCGTCGCCTCGCCTTCTCGCCGCGGCGGCGGGGCGCCGGCAACGCTCGGGCGGGGGGGGGGTTCGGAGGAGGAGCAGGAGGAGGAGAAGGATGAGGAGGAGGAGGAGGAGGCGGAGGAGGAGGAGGAGGACGCGGAGGAGGAGGAGGAAAAGACGGAGGAGGAGGAGGAAGGAGGAGGAGGCGGAGGAGGAGGCGAAGGAGGAGGGAGAGGGGGGGGGCAACATCAGAGCAAACCTGGAAGAGCGCCCCCCCCCCCCCCGAGAGAGGCGTTGGGGGGGTGGAAATTCGAAGCAACATTGAAGCTCAAATGACGGAAGATGCCCTCAATTGAAACCATAATGACTCAGTATTAACCAATCATATCGCATCGCCGACTTGCCTCCGCCCCCCTAAAAAACGATGGGTTTCTGGGGGAGGGGAAGGGGGCTGTTTGAGACCTGTTGGAAAAATGCGAAACGTATGTGGATACTGTGTGTAGGGGCCTGCTAAACGGGGTCCGCGTAGATGGGGCCGGAAGATCGCACCCAAAGCATCGCCGATGCATCACCGATGCATTGGCGATGCATCAGCGACGTCGGCGACGCATCTGCGCCGCCGGCGTTGGGAAGCACGGTCTCCACATCGAGCCGCATCGTCGATGCATCGGCGATGCGGCGCGATCCTCCGATCCAATCTACTCGGACACCATCTAGGATGCCTAAGAATGTGGCACGGAATGGAGGTCTGCATGAATCAATTGGTCAAGGGCCTGCGGGGAGCAAGAGCCCTACGAGAACCGGGAGCAACTGTGGGCCCCTTGGGACCCCGAACCATTGATTCCAGCAGTTACGGTGGGGAGCTTCCAGAACATATTTTCCTACACAAGGCCGTCCAAGACACAGCGGCTTTCGCACCGCGACGGCGCCGAAGTAGCTTCCCCGAACCAAGCGAAGCAGGGGGCGCAGATACCACTGCCGTGTTTACTAAAGCCCCGTGTCGCAGCGCAACGGCAGACCCCAACTCGAATACAACGGCCCAAAGCTCGGGCCTACTTAACCAAGGAAGGCGCCATATTCTGATACCCCTGGAAACCAAAGGCAATTCAGGGCTCCTCTTCAAACTCTATTCAAATCGATTCTACAAAACCCATCATATACCGATTGACCAGCTACAGCCATCGGCCTGACCTAAGGAACGAGAAATAAGGAACGAAGCCCCTTTGTTTTCCAAGGAGCAATGCATTAAGGAACGATAACTAATGACAAACGCATACGGAACGATGGACAACGCATGCAAGCCTAGGGGACGACCGAGCCCCTAAAAGCAAGTGCTCCTTACTCAAGCCGCTCACTGTACTTCCATACTCCGTCGCTGCTTCCCTGGCCGCCGCTCCTCTCCTGCACAGCGGCGCGGTTGCAGCGCTCTGGGCGCTCCATCACACACACGTATGCCTTGGTGGATACAGGCTCTCAGCTTGGCCGGGAGGCCACAGACACACATCAAGTGGCGTCGCGGCCAGAGGAAGACCAGAAACACACACACACACACTCACACGCACACCATAACAACAAACATTAGCCTGGCGATGGACCCAACTATATGCAGTTGTGAATGCCGCAGTTGTGAATACCATCTTCGACCGTGCTCCCTATGTGGCCACGGCTTCCCGCCGGAGCCCGACATGCTCAGGAACACGTTCGTGGCCGTCTTCGCGGGCGCCGACGACGACAAGCGCGGCGTCCCTCTGACCGAGGAGCAGTAGAAGGAGAGGGCTTTGAGAGCCATGAGGGAAGAGGTGGCGTTGCACGTCGACAAGGCGGAGTATGACGCCCAGGCGCGGTTGTTGAAGCAGCACAACTATGGGGCCACGATCCTCGTGAGGGGTGTGCCGCAGTGGCACGGGGCCGCCATGCGAACCCTGCCACTGGCGCCTTCGGTGGAGCTCCTGTGGGGCCACGATCCTCGTGAGGGGTGTGCCGAAATGCCCCGAGGCCGCCATGCGAACCTTGCCACTGGCGCCTTCGCTGGAGCTCCTATGGGGCCACGATCCTCGTGAGTGGTGTGCCGAAATGGCCCGAGGCCGCCATGCAAACCCTGCCACTGGCGCCTTCGGTAGAGCTCCTATGGGGCCACGATCCTCGTAAGGGGTGTGCCGAAATGGCCCGAGGCCGCCATGCGAACCCTGCCACTGGGGCCTTCGGTGGAGCTCCCTATGGGGCCAAGAAGCGCTGTACTGGGTGGGTGAAACGCAGGGAGGAGGGAGGAGGACAGGAGGAGGAGGAGGAGGAGGAGGAGGAGGAGGAGGAGGAGGAGGAGGAGAGGAACGCGGGTCACCGTCTCTTCAAAACGAGGACCCAACACCACAGGATGGTTGGGAAAAACGCGATGAGGGCGTACAATGAGCGAACGGACAATGGAGGCTCAATGGTGGTGGTGGTGGTGGTGGTGGTGGTGGTGGTGGTGGTGGTGGTGGTGGTGGTGGTGGTGGTGGTGTACGTTCCCTCCCCCGACCGCCTGGATCGGCGAGCACGGAGTCCTTGCCGGCCCGCCGCGCCTTCTCGTCCGCGAGGCTGTCCTGCAGGCTGTCGGTGTAGAAGACGTCCCCGCAGGCCAGCCGGCAGAGCAGCACGAAGCGGACCCCGAGGTCGCCCGAGGCGTAGCCCAGGCTCCTCTCCAGGTGCTCCGAGAAGAACACGCCCCTGCCGAAGCGCAGCCCGTGCCTGAGTATCGTTTAACCGATCCCCATCCCCAGCGGCGTGGCCTTGGCCCCACTGGCAGATTTGCCCCGTTAGATGGGGATGTAGGCCGTTCCCTTCGGGTTTCGAGGGGTGCATCCCCAACTGGGGTGGTAATTTGGTGGGGTTCTCGAAGGGGGTGGGGATGGGGATCGGTTCAACGATACCGAGTGCCTAACCTCTTCGAGCTCGGGCACCACGAAACCGTGCGCCGCGATGCTCTCCGCGGACGCCCGCGACGTCCCGTGCCAGAGCAGCCGCTCGTTGAGCCGCTCGTCCAGGTGGCCGGCGCAGAGCGCACCTCCGGCAAAGGTCCTGCTGCGGAGCCGCTCGGTCAGCAGCTCGTCCTCGGAACGCGTCCCGACGAGGTCGGCCACGCTGGGAAAGGCCTGTAGAGGAAAAAACCCTGAGATCCCGGCGTCTCAATTTTTTCGAACTGGGCGTTCTCGCATTTTTGTCGGGCCCTGGCACCCTCACAGATCGATCCGCCCTGGAAAACGACGCAGAAAGATGGGGTCGAGGGCTCTGCGCGTGATTTGTTACGATGTTGCCATTTTCTCGCTGCGTCGGATCCCAAGGGACGCACCAAAGAAGCATCAGCTTTCGACTGCCCGCGCGGATGCGCGCGGAGCGCGCCAGGGGCGGCGCCGGAGGCACCGCCAGGGGGCTGCAACGCCGATGCAAGAAGTCCGGGCGGGGCTACGGGAAACTGCGCTTCTGCGACGCTTGCTCTGCGAGCCTCGCTGCCGCAGAGACGCTCCAGCAGGCCAGCCCTGTGCGCAGCGTACCTGGCCCACACCGCCGAGTTCTCCACGCGCCGCGCCCGGAGCACCTGCCAGCGCGGCCCCACGAGAGAGCGCGCGGCCAGCTCGTGCAGCTGCTCGAGGCTCCTCTCCGGGGAGCCCCCAACACCGCGTGGCGAGAGGCCGCGCGGTGGCCTTGCAGTCCCCCGGCGACCTCACCGCGCGGCCCGCCGCTGCATGGTCTTGGGACCTGCGAGGCCGCGGTCACCCGAGGCGTCCTCGGAGAACGACCCGAGCCCCGAAAGCGTGCGGTGGTCCCGAAACACCACCTCGCCATCGCTCGGACGTCCATTCCCTGTGCATTTGTTGGTTTCGTGCGTGGTTTCTTCGCCAAATGATCGAGGATGCTCCTCGATGGTCCTCGCCGAAGGAAAAATGCACACGTCCGAGCGATGCCAAGGCCCTTAGCTCGCCGCGCGGTGTGGTCACCGCACCGTTTGGGGCCCCTGATCCTCCAGCGGAGGCTGCAGAGCTGGAAGAAGGGCTCCCGGAGGGGGTCGAGGTGGCAGTGGCGCCAGTACACAGGGATCTCGGTCTGCAGGGGATGCGGATTCCTCGGCGTCTCACTTGCGCTCGCAGCATGCACCCGCTCGTAGAGCAAGATGTATTCTGGGTAGACCTGGTCGGTGTCGTAGACCACCAGTTCTCGGAATGTGCCAACCGACGCCTCACGGTCTCCGAAGGTGCTGTCGAACTCTCCGGCGTGAAACAAATACTCTGCCAACTTGTCGCGCTCAGTTGTGTATCGGAATTTGCCCATGCATACTCGGGAAACCACCGCTGCGAAAATACCGCGGTAAGTGCCAGACGCGTCGTCCTTTGAGTACTCGTCGGCTTTGGTGCTACTTTCCGCCAAATCCGCTGGGCCCATTGCGAGGCCGCCAGACTGCGTGGCCCGACTTGTCGTAACACCTTGGCAACGCATAGTTGTCAGACAATTAGCAACTCAGCCATGTAGCAGCAGTCTTAACAATTTCGCAGCGTAGCTTAACAAGTTCCCTGGCCATCCTTCAGGACTTCAGGAGCCCATAACCCAGGTAGCTTCCACAATTGTGGGAGCGCGACTCCCCAAACCCCGAGCAAACCCTTTTATCTTGACCAGGCCGTGTGCCCCAGCCATTTCAACCTTACTGTATTCTCACTCGGATGGCCACGACTCTGCACAAAGCACGCATAGATATGCGAGTTCAGGGCCACGATCCCTCGCAAAACAGTCAGTGTATCTTCGCCTCCAGGGCAAGGACCCCTCGCAGACTGCAGAGGTTCCGCGCTCCCAGAGCCACACTGCGCATTCGCGCCCCGTGGGCTACGATCCGCTCACAGTATGCGAGGCCGGCTTGCTTGCAGGGGACTCCGAGTGCGTCCCCGAGCATGACGAGGCCTCTTCGGAGGAGGGGGAAGAGGAGGAGGAGGAGGAGGAGGAGGAGGAGGAGGAGGAGGAGGAGGAGGAGGGAGGGGGAGCAGAAGAGTAAAAGGGGTAGGAGGAGGCATAGGAGGAGGAGGAGGAGGGAAGAGGAGGAGGGGGAGGACGAGGGGGAGGAGGAGGAGGAGAAGGAGGAGGAGGGGGAAGAGGAGGAGGAGGAGGAGGAGGAGGAGGAGGAGGAGGAGGAAGAGGAGGTGGTGGAGGAGGAGGAACCTCTCTTGGAGCTCCCAAGGCCGCCCGCACGTCGCCCCCCAAGGCCTCCCAGAGACTCCCAGAAGCTCCCAAGGCCTCCTCGATCTTTCCTGGGCCTCCCAGGCGATCCCACAGCCTCACAGAGCTGCCCAGGGCTTCCGCGAGCTCAGGCGCTCCTGGGCGCGGAAACCCACAGGCGTTTCCAATCAAAACGTCATGCCGTCAAGCCACGAATCAATCATGGGGTGGGCTGGCAGGGGCGAAGCTCTGGAGATAACATCCGTGTCCGTACATGGTACCCGCCCCGCTTCCAGCGAGGTCTATCCTGAAATCCTCTCGTCCGATGCCAAGAGCGGACCGAGCGCTGGTGCCGTGTATCCCGTACGCCTCGTTCACGGAAACGTCCAGCGGCTGAAAGACCTCGGGATGGTCGCCAAGGCATGCCGCAGATCGGAGGGGCGGACTGAAGGTGCACGGCCACTCCTGCGCCCGCGCGCTCGCGATCTCCGCCCGCCTCTGGAGGTACCTGCTCCACATCCTCGTGCTCTCTACGCGGATCACGCGGCGGACCCTGTATCAGCTGCACGCAGGCGTGACCCGAGGCAAGACTGACCTGTGGTGCGCGCCCTCCGGGAGCCGCAGCTCAAACTCAAGCAAGCCAAGCGCGCTGGCCAGTGCTGGCGGGACCACTGCGTAGGCAGTGGCTCGAGGTGCCCCAGGCCCGAGGTGCCCCCCAGCTTGTCGCTCGATGTGGGAGCCCCATGGGGCCCTCTGGGCCATTTCGAGGGGCGCTCCGGAGGAAGCGGGGGCCTCCCTTGAAATCCTGGGGGTACCTCGGGCCAGGGGCACTTCTGGCAGCACCCGGCTGTGGGCCAAGGGTCTCTCTAGCACTTCTCGCAGTAGGTCGGGCATGTCCTCCTACTGGCGGGTTCCCGACGGAGGGAATATACAGAACTGCTCAAAGCGAATAATGATGGAACATTCGCCCCCAGACATGTTTGGACTAGTTTTGCATACTCCCGCTGTAAAGGGCTATGCCCGACTGAATTCTGGCACCAGGGGTCCCCCTGTCGCAGGCCTAGGGATTGACACCAACACCAATTTCGGCGGTGTGCCTCCACCGAGGGAAGAAGATCCCGATCTCGGTGATGGTGGTAATATTCTGGCTTCCAAGGTGGCCGAACTATTACCACCCTCACCGAAAATCTAGGATCATCTTCCCCCTGTGGAGGCAACCCTCTGTCTTGGTGTTGGTGCCAATTTCCAGGCCTCCGACCCTGGCGACGGGCCACTCTTACGCGCGGCCGACCTGTAGGCCACGGGGAGCCCCGGGTCGCCGCCGGGCTGCACGCAGGGGCAGCCCAGGGGCGTCCTCGCGCACGTGCCGCGGGGGCAGGGGCGGTCCTGTGGTGGGCCTGTTTTCCACCGCCACCACCATAAGTAGGATGGGGAGGGGGCCCTCCTCCTCCTCCTCCTCCTCCTCCTCCTCCTCCTCGTCCTCGTCCTCCTCCTCCTCCACCTCCTTCCCCCCTCCAACTTATGGTTGTGGTGGTGGAAAACAAGCCCATCATCCTGCGTGCAGCGGGGCTGGAACGTCGCCTGCAGCAGCGCGTCGAACACGCCGTGGAGCCCGGGGTCCACGAGCACGAGCTCGTGGAAGTTCCTTCCGGCGGCTCAGAGATGGGGCCCTGAGGGGTGGGGCCCCCGGTACGGACGAGGGGGCCGCAACCATCGTAGGCTCCACAGGGAGCACCTTCCAACTCGATGGGGTCCCGTTCCTCAGGCCCAGCCTTCGAGCCGCCGACCTTGGGGAGGCAAGAAGAGACCGAGACCGAGACTCCACGGACCTCTCTCTTGGATCGCGCGGCCACGAGGGCCTCCCAGGAGGCCCAGCAAGGCGAAAACACGGCATCGGGAAACAGAGCAGTTCATCGGCACATGTCGTTCGTTTCTCATCGTGCTCATTTCTAATTGTGCTCGTTTCTACTTGTTCCTGGCCCCCTAGTGGCCAGGAAGAGGCCCAGGATAGAACAATTAGAACTGAAAGGACCTTCGTCCCAGAATAGAAGAAACTAGCAATTAGAATAATCAGACATGAAATTAGAACTTTGAAGAATCAGGAGTGAACAATGCGTGCGTAAACCCTCCCCTCCCCTGGGTTCCTGGACGGGTCGCCGTTGGCCCAGTAGCCGGGCAGCGCGCCCGCGGCGCCCTCCGCTGGGAGCACGGGCATCGGCGGAGAGCCCGGGGGGGGAAGTGAGAAGGGGTGGGCGTTCTCAGAGGGCTCGGGAGTCCCCCGGCCCTTTGAGAAGTTAGTTGTTTCAGAGCCTTCCCTGAAGACACAGGAAGCTTCTCGGGAGGCACGAGGGCTTCCGAGAAGTCCCGCCGCCCTCTGAAAAAGGGCCTTCTCCTGCTCGCTTCCCCCCTCGCTCGCCGCCGAAGAGAGGTACCTATACTGCTGCTCCGCGGACCCTTCCTTGGGTGCGCTCTGAACCGCATTTCGTGACGAACCTGTCCGTGGCGACGAGGGAAGGGTAGCAGTATTGGTACCTCCTCCTCCAACGCGCGCTTGCGAGCAAGCGCTGGAGGAAGAGGAGGGGGAGGAGGATGAGGAGGAGGAGGAGGAGGAGGAGGAGGAGAAGAAGGAGGAGGAGAAGGAGGAGAAGGAGGAGGAGGAAGAGGAGGTGGACGACGACGACGACGGGGACGGCGGGGACGGCGGCGATGGCGGCGACGGCGACGACGACGATGACGACGGCGGTGACGACGACGACGACGACGACGACGACGGCGGTAAATGCGACGACGACGACGACGACGACGACGACGACGACGACAACGACGGCGACGACGACGACGACGACGACGACGACGACGACGGCGAAGAGGACGACGGCGAGGACGACGGCGACGACGACGACGACGGCGACGACGGCGGCGACGACGACGGCGAGGACGACGGCGACGACGACGACGACGGCGGCGAGGACGGCGGCGAGGACGGCGGCGACGACGGCGGCGACGACGACGACGAGGGCGGCGGCGGCGACGGGAGCCTCCATGTCCCTCTCTGGCCGGTCGTCCTCGTCCTGCAGCGCGGGCAGCACGGAGCTCAGGCGCAGCCGCCGGCGCGCGCAGCGCAGGCGGAGCAGCGCGAGGGAGGCGCCGAGGAGCGAGGCGCCCGCGGCCAGCAGGGCGGCCAGCTCCCAGGCGCCGAGGCACGCCTCGCAGGGCTCCATCGCCGCGGCCTCTCCTGGAGGCCGAGGAGGGGGAGGGGGAGGGGGAGGGGGAGGAGGAGGAGGAGGAGGAGGAGGAGGAGGAGGAGGAGGAGGAGGAGGATGTGGTGGGCGCTGGGTTTCACGGCTCGAGAATGTCGAGGTGTTCGGACGTCTGCGGCGAGGCTCGAAGTTTCGAGGCTCGAGCTCTCGAGGCCCAACGGCAGGAACGTTGTACGGGGAAACGGCAGGGGGCAGGTTGGGGGCAGCGTTCTGAGGGAACGTCAGGGAGAAGGTCAGGGGAAACGTTGGGTAGAACGTTAGGGGTGGCGCTCGGTGGGACGTCAGGGGGGACCTCAGGGGGAACGCGCTAGGGGGAACGCTAGGAAACGTTCGGGGGAGCGCTGTGGATCGTCCGGGGGAACGTCAGCTGGCACGTTCGCGGGGGACGTTCGGGGTGCCGCCAGGGGCGCTGCTGGGGAACGCAGGGGGGACGCCGGGGAACGCTATTAGGGGGGCGGGGGAGGGAGGGAGGTCGGAGGGCTTCAGGGAAGGCTCCCCCGTCGCCTTTGGGGGACGCCGGTCCCCAGCCACGCCTCCTTCCATGTCGGAAAGGCAGCGACGGGGCCGGCAGCTTCGAGGCTCGCTTCCTGGGCGCTGCTCGCCGCTCCTCGGCGGCCCTGCGGCCTCCGGGTGCCTCCCGGCGGCCGCGCATGCGCCGAGGGCGTCCCGGTGGGGGGGGCCGGCCTCGTCCCGAGGGCGGCCGCCGGGAGGCCGAGCTGTGGCCCGAGCAGCTGAGAAGGCATCGACGCCTGGGGGAGAGCCGCTCCCCTGACCTTCCAGGAGGGCTTAAGAATAGCACCAGGACGTCGACGTCCTAATTCCTGTCGAGGTTCGAGGCAGTCCTGATAGATCTATAGGTCTGGAGTGCTATATTTAGCACTCTGCAAGGTCAGGGTCAGAGGGCGGGGGGCAGGAGCAGATCGAGCCCGAATCGGCGCTGCATCGCCGATCGATCGGGCAGTGGGCCCCCGAAAGCGAGTCCGCACGCCACTGGGCGGGCCCCTGCCCCTCCTCCCTCCTCCTTGCTCCTCCTCAATACTTCCCCCACCTGAATCATTTCCCCCTGTCGCACCCTGAGGCCGGTCGAAAGGGTAGACCGGGCGTTTCGCCAGAGACTTCCTCGCAATCTAGGTACGACCCTGAAGCTTAAAATGGACAGCGGCTTCTCAGATGGAGGGCGGGTGTTTTTTGTTTTAATGTGGCTCTCGCCTTAGCGCCGCGCCAATCGGATTTTAAGCCGTTGCAAACGCTTCACACATTGAGGGCGGGTGGTTTTCAAAATGTGTCTCTCGCCTTAGCGCCATGCACAGTCGTTTAAAACGTTAACAGGAGCTTCACTGATGGAGGGCGGGCCGTTTTCAAAATGTGGCTCTCGCCTTAGCGCGGCGCGCATTCCTTTTAAACATTTGCAAGAGTTTCACGGATTGAAGGCGGCTCCTTTTCAAAATGTGGCTCTCGCTCTATCGCCGCGTACATCCCTTTTGTTAGAATTGCAAGAGTTTCACGGATTCCCATGGTCAATATACCAGAAATGGCTCGTTGGAAAAATTCCGGATTAGGGGGGCGAATATTTGACGTGCAGTGTTGAAGTCCCAGGAATGACGTTCTGCCACGATTCAAGATCGTCAAAACGCAACGGTCAGGTTGATCCATGGCGATGGAGTCCCGAGAATAATGTTTTGGCATGCTTCAGGGTCTGCAAGCGGTTGCCTTCCTACGAAGCAGTTCCCCCGGTGGAAAAGGAATCCTTGTGGGGGCCGACGAAGAGGGAGCTTGGAGGGAGGGTTTATTCCAAGAGCGTTGATGACGCTTGAGCTTACACTGGTCCTGCTGCCCCCCTCCTCTTCCTCGGCCTCCTCCTCCTTCCCCTCCTCCTCCTCCTCCTCCTCCTCCTCCTCCTCCTCCTCCGCCTCCCTCCCCCTCCTCCTCCTCCTCCTCCCCCCTCCTCTCCTCCCCTCCTCCTCCTCCCCCTCCTCCTCCTCCCCTCCTCCTCTCCTCCTCCTCCTCCTCCTCCTCCTCCTCCTCCTCCTCCTCCTCCTCCTCCTCCTCCTCCCCCTCCTCCTCGGCGAGGAAGGGGCAAGGAATCCCCCGCTGGGCCGATCCCCCCCTCTGAACGTTGCCCCGGGGGGGGACGCCCTCAGATCTCCGACGCTGGGTTTTTTTTTTCTAGCCTGGCCGTTCTCCCTCGAGTTCGGCCTCCTGCCGCGAGGTCCTGCTGTCGGGCCCCGGGACCATCCCGAATACAGTCGGGATTGATTGGACAGGACACGCGATAGGACGCTAGACCCTTCCGAGGGCCACACTGCCATGGGAATGTAGGAGGCACGGGTCGCGACACACGGGGCACAAGGGTACCTTTGATTGGCAGGGTCGACCTACTAATCGACCTCGACTGTATTGGCCCAGAGCGACGAAGTGCCCCCTGGGAAGGGGTCGGGACCTCTGGGGCCGCGCATTGAAAAAATCGCATCGTCCGGTGTAGGGGCCCATGCACCTAGACCGCCACAAGTCGGCAGAAGAAGAGACACATCGGAATAAGCATCGACCTCCGGAGCTCCGACCGGATTTCTGGAATCGGCACTGCCTGACTGCCTACAAGACCACCCCAACCCCACCCGAAGACCCGCCTTTCGGGGAAGGGGGATACGGACTTCATATGTTTGTTCCATGTTTCCCGACCTCCCCCACCATGTGCACTGGGAGCGGAGGGCACACTGGGGCCTTCGGGTTGGGTTGGGGTGCCTTGGCGGGTGGCGACTGCCCCTCCTGGACGCGTGGAGCGCGCCAAGGGCGGCACCGGAGGCGCCGCCAGGGGGGCCCCCTCGAAGCAGCCGGCCAGGAACTCCGACAAAGCTGCGCTCTCCGACGCCTGCCTGGCCGGGGGGGCCACCCGTGGGCCCCGGCAGGGCGCTTTCTTTCGACGAGCAGGGTCGGGCGACAGGCGCTGCCGCAAGCGCCCCGAGGAGGCGCCCGCCTCCGTCGGGCACCCTTTGGGGAGCTGCGCGATGGACGCAGCGCCGCCGGGGCGCGCGCGCCCTCCCCTGTCGGGTCGGGCGAAAGGGGGGGACAGCCAACGGGGCGTTTGAGAATCAGCCCACGTGGCTGACTTTCCCGGCGCCTCCCGGCGCCAGAGGCGGCCATATGTGTCGAGGAAGGGGCCCCTCGGCGGGGCCGAAACCAGCTGCATGCAGCACATTCCGTGACCCCCCCTTTCCCCATCCCCCCCTTCCGTCCGGCCCTTCCCTGGCCGACGCCCTGGGCGGGCGCCTGCCGTCGGGAGCCCGTGCGCTGGGCCCCGCCGCGGCGGCGGCCCCGGCGCCTGCACGCTCCCTCTCGCCATCGCTCGGACGTCCATTCCGTGTGTTTTTCGGTTTCGTGCGTGGTTTTTCCGCCAAATGATCAGGGATGCTCCTCGATGGTCCTCGCCGAAGGAAAAATGCACACGTCCGAGCGATGCCGAGGAAAAGTAACACTCCAGACCTATAGATCTGTCTGGACGGGCCTCTAACATCGACGGGCATGAGGACGTCGACGTCCTCGTGCTATATTTTTGTTAGCCCTCCTGGAAGATCAGGGTGTGTGGGCCGACACCAGCGGCGGCAGACGCTGAGCCAGAGTCCCCGGCCACACGACTCACCACCCTGCTCAGGAGCGAACGAAGGACGTACACGTGCATGAATCCGCGTTGGTTTTGAGAGTGTGCATCTTGCGCGGATGTTGTATCACGCGGACGGTCTCGCGGATCGAGGGGCCGTGTTCGTGTACATGGCTGGGCGCGTACGTCCTTTTGTGGGCTCCCTACCTGCGGAGGGGGACAGGCCCCGGCCAGGCGCGCTATGGTGCACAAGATAGGGACCCACCCGCGAACCCTACCCCTGCGTCCCGCGATTTCTGAGGGGGAGGGTGGGGGTCACTTCGCTCGGGAGCTCCCGAACGAAGTGAACCCCACCCTCCCGCTCAGAAATCGCGGGAGGCAGGGGTAGGGTTTGCCGGTGGCCCCCGGCAAGACACGTCGTTCTGCGGTCCCCCTCTCCAGAGCAAGCGCTGCCTCCGGAGAGCGCCTCATGCAGGGCGTGCCTGTTGCGGAAGCGGCCGCAGCCGCGGCTGGTGCAGGACAGGCACGTGGAGCAAGCGGACCAGGCCCCCCACTCGGACCTCACGGGCGGCGAACGTGTCCATAGCCACGCCCTCGCGGTCCGGATCCCTGGGGCGATCCCGCGGGTACGCGGTCGCACGGATACGCTCCGAGCGGGGCATCCGCGAAAGAACGCCCCGTATCCACGGGGTCGCGGCCCAGGGCCTGGCCCGCGAGGCCGCGGATACGGACATGTTTTCGCCCACGAGGACCACTCGCACCCGCTAGCGGGGACGGCGTCCGGGCCCGTGGTGGCGGAAGAGCACGCCGCGCCGCAGAACTGGACCTCTTCGACGAAGGCTGGCTGGTCGCAGAGACCCCCCGCTGGCCTTGTGGTCCCGCCTCCGCACGCACAGCACAGTTCCACGTAGTAGCCAACGTGCGCGTAATCGCCGTAGTTCACGAGCCAGTCGCAACTGCTGGGGTTGTCAGACAAAAAGGCGCAATCCACCCAGCCCCACAGCGCTGTGCCGTTGTCTGTGTCGACGCACTCCTCCCCGGCCGGGGCCTCCCATACCTGCGGGGTAGCGTCGGGCGGAACACGCTCAGAGGGGGCAAACATCAAGCAGCGAGCTGCAATCGGCGATGCATCGCCGATAGATGGGCAATAGACCCCCGATGGCGAAACCGGACGCTTCTGGGCGGGCTGGACTATCACGCCCCTGTCGGCGATGACATGGGCGATTGGGGGTCGATGCGTGGCCCCCCCTGAGAGCCTGTCCCCCGCGAGCCCTGCCCCCGAGAATACCACGCTGCGCCGCCGGCTCCTCTCGGCGATGCCGTACGCCCCCTCCGAGCACGCGCACGCCGACCAGGAGCCCCAGTCGGTGAAGCTGCAGACCTGGGTCAGGTTCGCCAGCCCGGCCGCGAGCTCGAGCGCCTCGTCAGCGGCGCCGGCCATGGCAGCCGCGGCGGCGCCGGCTCTGCGGGGTTCCGCCAGCCATGGCCTCCATGCGGCTCAGTGGTGCCAGGCCGCCGCTGCCTGGAGGAGGCGAGGACGAGAAGTGAGGAGTGATGAGTGAGGAAAGGGAGGGTAGGAGGAGGAGGAGGAGGAGGAGGAGAGGAGGAGGAGGAGGTGAGGGGTGGAGAAGGAGGAGGAGGAGGAGGGAGAGGAGGAAGAGGAGGAATGGGCGGAGGAGAAGAAGGAGGGGTGGGAGGAGGAGGAGGAGGAGGAGGAGGGGGAGATGGAGGGGAAAAACGAAGGAGGAGGGGAGAGGAGGAGGCAGCAGGATGGAGGAGGCGGATGAGGATGAGGAGGAGGAGGAGGAGGAGGAGGGGAGGAGGAGGAGGAGGCGGAGGAGGAGGATGAGGAAATAGGGGCTGTGGAAGGGAGGAAGAGGAATGGGCAGAGGAGGAGGGGAGGAGGAGGAGGAGGAGGAGGAGGAGGGAAAAGGTGAGGAGAGGAGGGAGGAGGAGGAAGGAGGGGAGGAGGGAGGAGGTAGGAGGAGGAGGGAGGGGAGGCAGGGAGAGAGGAGAGAGGAGGAGGAGGAGGAGAGGTATGAGGAGGAGGAGGAGGACGGAGGAAAAAGGGGGAGGAGGAGGCCATTCAGGAGGAGGGGAGGCAGGAGGCGGAGGAGGAGGAGGAGGAGGAGGGATGGAGGAGGGGGCGGAGGACAAGACGTGGGAGAAGGTGGGGGGGGGGCACGAGGGAGGACGAGGGCGAGAGGGGCAGGCAAAGCGAGGAGCGGAGAAACGGCGCAACCCCAGGAGAGGTAGGGTAAGGTTGAGCGCGTTGGGGGCGAGTCCGCACGGCGGCGGCTGAACGGCAAGCCGTGCAGATGTTTAGCAGGTGCAGAGGAGAAGGAGGAGAAGACTTAGGAAGAGGAGGTGGAGGAGGCTGAGGAGGAGGAGGAGGAGGAGGAGGAGGAGGAGGAGGTTGGAGCGGGGTGGTCAGCCCGCGGGGGGGGCGGCAGAATGGGAACACCAACAAGAGAGCGTCCCATTCCTGCAAGAACCAAACGGAACGCACAAGAAACAGGCCGCGCATAATCCCTTGGCCGTCCGTGGAGAGCTCTCTGGTTATCCCTCTCTCGCGGTTCCCACAACCTTTTCACAGCATTTCCACCCAAGAGACGTTCTTGAAGACAGGCAAAGGAAGGGATGCCTTGGCAGGGATGGTGCGGAAGAAGATGGATGGTGATGATGCTGGTGGTGGCGATGATGGTAAGATGATGTTGTTCCTCCACGTCAAGGCCACACAAATATATTACATACCCCCGGACGCAAAACTCGGCACCCGTCGCAGGAAACGATGCCGCCTGCAGGGTGCTGACCCACTCTGGCGACGCGTGCGAGCGGGAGGACGAACGAGCAAGCAGCTCATGAAAAGGAGTGCGCTGACACTTCGTCCTCGGCGTCGTAATCTACGGGCGGAGGCGTGCGCACGGTGGCCCGCGGCGATTCGAGCGCGTCTGCTAACTCGCGACGGTGTCAGGGCGGGCGGCCAGGGCAACACGAGCAGCGGTGCCTGGCAACAATGGGCTGCGTCAGAAGGAGGGGGCCGAGCGGTCAGTCACTGCCCATGGGTGCGTGGCCGAAATAGGATCCCGCGATGCGGTGTTTTATTGTTGTTGTTGGTGTTGTTGTCGTCGGCGTTGGTGTTGTTGGTGCTGTCGGTGTTGGTGTTGTTGCTGATGATGATGATGATGATGATGATGATGATGGTGTTGTGTAGGTGTTGTTGATGGTGTTGTTGCTAGTGTTGCTAATGTTGATGTTCTGGTTGCTGTGGCTGTTGTTACTGGTGCTGGTGGTGCTGTTGTTGCTGTTGATGGTGGTGCCATTATTGTTGTTGTTGTTGGTGGTGTTGTTGGTGTTGTTATTGTTGTTGTTGGTGATGTTGTTGTTGTTGTTGTTGTTGTTTGTATGCTTGCTTGCTTGCTTGCTTGCTTGCTTGTTTGCTTGCTTGCATGCTTGTTTGTTTGTTTGTTTGTTTGTTTGTTTGTTTGTTTGTTGTTTGGCGTCGCCCCCCCCCCCCCAGCGACCCACCCCGCGACCCACCCGCGACCCACCCCGCAACCCACCCACAACCCACCCGCGACCCACCCGCGACACACCCGCGATCCACCTGCGACACGCCCGCGACCTACCCGCGACCCACCCGCGAAGCACCCTGCGACCCACCCACATTCCTCTAACGAAAAATCGTCGCCTGCGGCGGTCTCGTTGTACAGCTTTTAAAATTTAGGCGCCTGCGGCGGGCTTCTTCAGAGCCTAGCAGACCGCAGACGCCCCCGCCGCCCCCTCACTCTTATCCGCGACTGCGGGGTGCTACGTGCGCATTTGATCTCAGGGGGGCCTGGCGTCAGCTCCTGTTCCCACAAATCGATGAGGGTCTCCAGCCAATGGCCCACTTCGTCCTCCATCCATCCCGACGGTGCCACTCCGCGATGGTGAATGGCGATGCGCTCCGCTGCCAAGCACTTCTGCATCGGCACTCGGCCTTCCCAAGCATGGGCGCCCACGATTACGTTCATTTTCTCCGCGTTCTCTTTAAGCGCGCGAAGCTGATCTCGGGCTCGAGGCCGTCAATGTCCAATTCGAGCTGCGCGAGATCGCCCAGCGCTCCGAAGATTCCGCGCTGCGCGAGGCCCTCCAAGGCCGCGGGGCCCAAGGCGGACGCCGGGAAATCGACCTCCTTCATCTCCTTCTCCTCGGGCCCCCCGCGGCGAAACCAGCCCAGCTTGTCCGCGTGAACCTCGAACTCTGTTGCAATATTGCTGGCCATGCGGCAATTAGCCGGCATCGTGCATGCTTCGGCTGCCACTGAGGACGCCAAGCAACTCCATTGTGCCGCCTGAAAGACCAGCTTCGATGTCGCTCTCCAGGGGTCGAGCCAATTCTTGTCTTTGCTGGGCCGCTGCTTATTGGGGAACTCCCCTCTGCACGCCCGTCGGCCTCCTCGTCGCGCTGTCATTGCCAGCGCCCTCGCGAGCTCGCCCCTCGCCCCCGCCAGCCGCGCGCGACTCAGGCTCGCGGGGCGGCAGAGTCATGGCCGGGCGAGCCTTGGCCAGCGGTGGCCCGTCCTCCGCCGCGACTTCCGAGCCGCCCCTGGATCCCGCGGAGGCCTGGGAGGAATCCCCACGGAGGCCCGCCGTCTCGATTGCCATCTCCGCCGCTTCGCCGCTCGCCACCGGGCAGTTGAGGTCGCGGGTTCCGGCGCCGCCGGCAGTGGAAGAGTCGGCAGTGAAAGAGTCGACATCGCCAATTGTGTTCGCCCCTGCACCGATGCGGAGTCGCGCGGGTCGAGGCAGGCCTCGGCGCCGTCGGTGGTGGACTGGAACCCGTTGAACACGTCGGCGCAGGTGGCCCTCGAGGCGCCTCAGCCAGTGGCAACCGATCTGCTGCTTGTCTCAACTTGCGCCGTGCAGCTCGTGACCAATAGCTGGCGTGGCTGCCTCGCTCCCGCCTGCGCGCGCGGGGGGCCGCCTGGGCGAGCCTTCCGCGCCCGCCGCCTCCTTCCGGGGCGCGCGCTTGAGCGTCGATGCAGAAGGCGACGGAGGCGCGTGCGCGCGCGCGGAGGTGCTGTCGTAGCTCGTCGGGATCAAGCCACTCATGCACATGCCTGGTTAGTTCATATTCGGGGAATGGACATGTAGTTCACGTGAATGGCGTCCGTCCACGGGCATCCGTGGCGAGTGCGTGCGTTCTGGCACGCACCCACCCGGCTGCCGAGCGAAGCCGCATATTTCTCACTCTATGATCTGGATCTGGGAACGCGGAGTTGCATGCAGCGCGCTTGTCGCCATGCTGTGAAGCACTAAGTATAGCTGGCTGTCCGCGCCCCAAAAATTTCAGATTTGCATCCACGCGCGGCCCATTTTGCAACCCTGCGAAGCCTCGAACAACACGCGGGCATCGAACGAGGAAGCTCCTCGTCGCTGCCAGCTTCGTCGCGCGCGGCCTGGGGGGAAGGGCCCGTCGCGCAGCGCTGAGGTCGGAGGGGGGGGGGGGGGGGGGGGGGGGTGGTCCACTGAGACGCCCGGACCCCCGCTCGCAAGGCACGGCCGACGCATTGAATGATTGCCTCTCGCTCGAGCTCGTCGCCCCATAGACTTCCCCCCGCTGGCGGAGACCGGCACTCGCGCAACGACTCGCAAGCATAATGGGCGGCCAGGCCCGCCAGGTCAGAGAGCCGCCGCGCGCGCGAATGCGCGGCTGGACCCACTTCCCGGTCGAACATGGCGCGGGGCGGTTGCCCCCTGCCGCCCGCTGCTCAGATGCACCTCTGCCAGACACTGATGCGCTGGATTGGCCATGATGTGTAGAACTCCTCTGGATACTCTGCAGCGGCTTAAACGCCGCACAGATAATCCAACGGCCGCCAGGGCGATCAGCCGCCCCTTGAAAATCTGCAAGGTTGTCGGCGCCATATGAATGCCATCGGGCTCCTCGTGATCTGCTGCCCCAGTTCGCATGGCTCGAAGTTTTCTGCCGTTGCCCAATCTTGACGACGTGCTCCTGGGAGCCACCGCGCGCGACTCTCGAGGCCCGACCGCCCCCGCCCTGCTGCGTTCGGTTCGCAAGTGAGTCGCGCGTTCTTCCAGGTGCCCCCAAAGAGCCAAAAGTCCCCCCGTCGAGCCAACCGCGCGCCTCTCGACATTATTAGCTCGGTAAGTTCCCACTTAGACTTCGCCGCTGCGCGCGCGTCGTCTCGCGCGCATCCGCGCTTGAACCTCCTCCCCAGATGCGCGCTGCTCGGCGCCCATTGTGGCCGCGCGGCTCGCCGGGCTGACGAGGGCGCCCAGCTGCGGCGCAATCCCGGCGCGCGCGCCGCCGATGGGCAGCGGCGTCGTCGACGCAATCTAGCGCGGGGGCCTGGTGGGCGGCCCCGCGTGGGAACGAGAGCAGCTTCGGACAATTGCCGACGAGGGCGCCGCGGCGGCGGTCGACCGTCCAGTCCGTGAACTGACGACGCGCGAGAAAGCCTGCCCTTGCACGTCGGCCATCTCCCGATCCCATTCGGAAGCCAAATGACGAGACGACCCC